GGTAGATGCAGGTTAGCGACTAAGTGTGTGAAAATGCGGGTCGTGTAAATAGAGCCCCTTTCCTCTGAAAATGACATTCGTCTTGTAGTGCATGTTGATAATTTTACGTTTTTGCCTTTTTACAAGGCTTTTTATTCCCTTCCATAATGTCGAGTGGGGCATTTTAATGTGGCGACGATTTATGGAAGATTTCAGTGAGTGGATGCTTGTGAAGCTGCCAAATGGCCATTATGCGACGTCTCTCACATATAGCCTATATATAATACACACTGTCGCATTTGTTTTAACCGAAAACAACCCATTTAGTGGCGTTTTCTCTTTGTACCTGTAAGTTCTCCGAACCTCAAGTTATTTCTCCTGACTTCGTGATGTCTGCAAGGTTTTGTTTTCCCTCCTCGAGCCTTCTGTAAATTATTCGTGCGTCATTTAAATACATGCAAATAGGAATTCTCCCTTCAGTGGTCCCTAAAGGCAACGTCCGAGTTATGGAAACAACCGCAGATCTGGCGAAGAAAAACAGCCTGAAAGTTGCGGCCAAACAGAAGTTTGTTCAGCTTTTCCAGGCCAAAAGAGGTGATGATGCTGATCCCTATACCAACTGAAGACCAAATAATTCAAGATAAATACTATAAAAAATAAATAAATAAAAATAAAAATTATATATATATATATATATATATATATATATATATATATATATATATATATATATATATATATATATATATATATATATATTCACCACACACACTTCCAGTTTTACGTGGCAGCACATGAAGAATTATAAAAAATATTTCTAGGAGTTAATGAGAGGATATATCTTTATTAATTTTACATTGTATGGTGTTTATATTGTTTTATCAATTCATGCTTTTATGTTAATAAATGATAAAAATCCATGTTTAGATTGACAGTCCACCAATGTTGAGTATTCTGAATAAAAACTATAATTATAAACACATCATATAGTATTTTATGTTACACTAAAGGGCACGTTTTGTGTGTGTGTGTGTGTGTGTGTGTGTGTGTGTGTGTGTGTGTGTGTGTGTGTGTGTGTGTGTGTGTGTATGTGTGTGTATGTGTGTGTGTGTGTGTGTGTCAAGGTCAAGTTCAGGCCAGAATTTGATCAGATTCCTTTTACTCTCAATCCTTGCAATTACTTTATAATACCGCCACCTAGTGGTAACAGCCAACTGTTCACTTAAACTAAAGTAATTTTTGCTGAAGAACAAATACATTCAGTTTAGATATTTTTAAAGAAACATTTGGTTTAAAATGGCCTGACTTTATAATTATTATTTTAATCTACGTCTATTTATCAGATGCATTTATTACCTTTCCCCTACAAAATGAATATCATTGCTGATCAATGCAAGGAGATCTTAACCTTTGCTGCTCTCTAGTGGTGTGACGATGATGTTTAAAGCACGTTATTACCGGAAAATTATTTACAATTTTTCAGAAGATACTATTTCGACACAATTTTATACATATTATAGACAGTTATTGCCTATATAAATAACTTATAAATAATAAAATAAAATAAATTAAAAAATAATAAACTTGAATGTTTCTTCTTTACAATATCACATATTTAATAATAATAATAATATATATTATAATATATGATTTTTCTTTACACTATTATTCTAAAAGAAAACTGTTTATTCAAATAACAATAATATTTGTTTATTTTAAGCAAGTTTTATTTTTTTTAATTTACCGTTTTATTTTTTTATGTTACACTTTTAAAGAATATATTTTACCCCCAATTTCTGTTTAACGGAGAGAATTTTTTTTAACACATTTGTAAACATAATAGTTTTAATAAAACAAAAAAATATATATTATCAGACATTCTGTGAAAATTTCCTTTTCCTCTGTTAAACACCATACCTTCATTCATTTTCTTGTCGGCTTCGTCCCTTTGTTAATCCTGGGTCGCCACAGCGGAATGAACCGCCAACTTATCCAGCAAGTTTTTATGCAGTGGATGCCATTCCAGCCACAACCCATCTCTGGGTAACATCTACACACACATTCACACACATACACACACACTCATACACTACGGACAATTTAGCCTACCTAATTCACCTGTACCTGCATGTCTTTGGACTGTGGGGGAAACGGGAGCACCCAGAGGAAACCCACGCGAATATATATATTTATAATTTGCTTTAAAATTATTTGATATTTACAAAAAATACACTGTTATACAAAAGATTAGGAGACCAATTGAAATGTCTCAATTCCTCTGGATTTATGAAATAAAGCTATGCATTTGAGTAAAACCTTATTTTTTATTATTCAGTTAACATTTTTCCAAATTTGAATAAAATGTTCTCATTTGCATATTTTAATTTATTAATTTATTTCAGCATAAAATAACAAAAATATGTTGCCATATGTTTGTATTCATTTTTACACAACACAATACCAATGTATATATTCAGACAAGTTAAGTAATCAATATTTGGTAGAATATTTTTTTCAATCACAGCAAAAGACACCATACTAAAACAAACAAACAAACAAACAAACATAATGCTTTAAATTATTAGAACCCGCTCGACTAGACTACTCAGCTTTTTCCCACAGGCTGTTAGAGCCCTCACTCCAGTCAACTTACCCCTCTGAAATACAGGTGTGTGGGCTTAAGAAACCACCTGTAGAAAAGACACCCTCTCATCTCTCTGACTCTTGCACCAGGTTGCACATTTGCACTATAGACACTTTCTTAATCACTCCATGTCTCTTGGAAACATTGTGCATTTCAAATAGTGCTTTATACAGGTAAGTGGGCTTGACAAACCACCTGTAGAAACACTCTTCTCTCTCATGCACCAGACACTTTATCCAATATAATAAGAACTCAATAATGAAAGCGATGTTTACTATAAATGTACCACAATCATGCTGCACTGCTTGCTTCAACCGTAAATAACTCTTGCACAATATCCTGCACAACATTGTTCAGTCTCATGTAAAAGTACTTATAGCCTTTCTTGTGTGTATTGTTAAGTATATGTTAGTCATGCAAAGGTTTTTAAATAGCTCTTATGTCCAGTGTTGTGTTTGTGTTTATGATTATTCTAGAACTGTTGTTCTGCGAGACGCAACATTTCGTTCCTCTGTTTATCCACACATGTAGCAGAAAGACAATAAAGCTCGACTTGACATTGCAATACTTTATTTAGAGTTTAGGAGAAATGCTAGCATCATGATGCTAACTATAGTCAATGTAATTTTTAAAATTAATTTTGTTTTTTGAAATGCATATCTATTTGTCAACTTAACATTTCTATGTATATTTACATATTTATGATATTTGATTTACAGTTGAAACCTGACGTACACTGTATAAAAAGGCACATAACCATTTTTAATGAAGTCAGATGTTAATGTGACAACATTTTTCTCTTTTAGGTACGTTAGAATTATTAAATTTGTTTCTGTTATGCTTGATAGCAGAATAATGCGAGAGACATTTTTTGAGAAATTGTTAAATTGTCAATTTTACATAAAATGAGATTATTATACCTCTGCAAATGCTCAGATGATGGTGTCAAGGTTTTGGAAGTTTCTGATTGGCTAATTGACAACATTTGGATTAATTGGAGTCACACTGTAGAATAGTTTTTAAGGAAAACCTCAAACACACTGCTCCTTTGTGTGACAACATGGGAAAATCAACAAGCCAGGATTAACAAAAAAAGCCAGATTACGATTTGCTAAATTACACTGGGAAAAATAATAATTTTTGGAGACATGTCCTGTGGTCTGATGTAACTAAGATTGAAGTGTTTGGCCATGATGACCTATGTTACATTTGGAGGACAAAGGGGAAAGCTTATAAGCCTAGGAACACCACCCCAACTGTGAAGTATGGGGCGACAGCATCATGTTGTGGGGCTGTTTTGCTGCAGGAGGGACTGGTCCATTTCACAGCATAGATGGCATCATGAAGAAAGAACATTAAGTAGAAATACTGAAGCAACATCTCAAGACATCAGCCAGGAAATTAAAACTTGGTCACAAATGGGTCTTCCAAACAGACCATGACCCTAAGCATACTGCCAGATTAGTTAAAATGTGCTTTAAGGACAACAGAGTGAATGTTTTGGAGTGGCCATCACAAAGCCCTGAATTCAATCCTATAAAAAAATTATGGGCAGAGTTGAAAAAGCTTGTTTAAGGAAGTCAGCCAACAACTCTGACTCAGTTACACCAATTCTGTCAGGAGGAATGGGCCAAAATTCCTTCAAACTATTGTAAGAAGCTTGTGGAAGGTTACCCAAAACATTTTACCAGAGTTATACAGTTTAAAAGCATATCTAAAAATACCAAGGAAGTGTGTGTGTAAACTTTTGACTGTCTAGAAATTAACAAAAAGTTCTCCAAAAAAATTCTCTAATTATTCTGGTATTTAGCAAATGTACATGATTTAGGTAATCCTGACCAACCTAAAATAGTAAACGTTTAGTATGATTTACCATCAGACATTTTTTTTTAAATGGTTATGTTCCTATTTTTAGAGTGTATGTCAACTTGTAGTTTCAACTGTATATTATGGGGTAAAATTATACTCAATAACCTGTCAAACCCTAAAATAACCACTAGATGTCACTAGATATCCAAAAAAGGCAGACCTTTTAATAGGCCTATTGATTCTGATCTGAAGATGATTCTTACAAATATATAATTTACCGACATTGTTAAAGCATATAGCATAATAAACATAAAAGTAACGTTTTAGTAAAGTAACGATACAACTACATGAAAAATATCCCCACATTTAGTGTCCAAACCATAGCTGTTTATGTAAACAAATTAAAAAGTTTAGTAAACAAATTAATTACTCAAATTATTTTAGAGGCTCTACTATACAGGTTATCTTCTAAATAACTTTAACATGTTGCCACCACATAAACACAGATAAACACAAAGACAACATGCGACTTCTAAACTTCTCCCTATTTCCGCTTGCCGGTGTTCTGCTTCCGGTAAATCTAAAAATATTTTTTGACATACGCACACAGCGATTTTGAAGTGTCAGAGTTTAAAATGAGCTCCGGTTCGACCTGTGCTGTACCTGGTTGTCACAACAACTCGAAAAAGTTGAAGAGTTTTCAAGAGAACATCTGTATCGAGCACCAAAAGAGCAGGAATGAGTGTCCGTGTGCTGCGCCGTATGCACTTCACTGTATGCCGACCAAAGCGGAGAGGAAACGGGCTTGGCTTTCGGCTCTGAAATTAAAAAATCCACCGAAAAGAGTTTATGTGTGTTCGTTTCATTTCGTCGATAAAAAACCCACTGAGCTCCACCCGGACCCTGAACTTTACCTGGGTCAGGATAGACCTCAACAGAGCAAGCGAAAACAAACTGAGGAAACCGGCGGACTTGGTATGTTTATGAAATATAACAATTGTATTGATGTTTATGATTTATTTATTAGTTTGTATCTACTTTACGTAGACTGCGTGTTACCGTGGTTTCTGTCACTTTACTCAGCGCACTTTAGAATGGACCAATCACAGTCGTTTATTTAGAAACTACTTTCGCGCGTAGAATTTCGATATTAATGTAGGGTATTACGTTTTTAAACAATATTTCAATATTTTGTTGTTTCCTAGAAGACAAACCTGATATAACTTTAACGAATCACCCTCCAAACAATGGCTTTTGTGAACCGTAGAGCGCCGCCTGTTGGTGTAAATCTTCTTGTAGCTGCTACAGTTTGACGATTTATAAAACAAAATGATAATAGTCGGCATTAAATTGAAGTCAGATTTGAAAATTAAACTTTTATACTAATATATCAAGGTAAAGTTGGTTTAATAGTTACACATTCAGACGTTCTCCTTTAAATTATGTTTTCTAAATAAGTATTCGTTGCAGGCAGCATGTGGCGCAGTGGGTAGCGCTGTGCCTCACAGCAAGAAGGTCACTGGTTCGAGTCTTGGTTTGGTCAGTTGGCTTTTCTTTGTGGAGTTTGCATGTTCTCCCTATGTTCACTTGGGTTTCCTCTGGGTGCTCCGGTTTCCCCCACAAGTCCAAAGACATGCAGTACAGGTGAATTAAGTAAGCTAAATTGTCTGTAGTGTATGTGTGTGAATGAGAGTGTATGGGTGTTTCCCAGTAATGGGTTGCAGCTGCTGCATAAAACATGTGCTGGATAAGTTGGTGGTTCATTCCACTGTGGCGACCTCTGATTAATAAAGAGACTATGCCGAAAGAAAAATTAATGAATGGATATTCTAAATAGAGAAATCATATTAGCAGCCAATGACTATCAAAGTACAACATTGTTTACGGTCAATTAAATGTTGCTAAGGTTGTTTTGAAGTCATACTTTCATGCTATTACTGACCGAATATTCAAAGTAGCATGGTAAACAGTATAGGGACCCTGTCACATGTTGTCACTAAACGAATGTGTTAATATAAAACCAACTTTACCTCAATATATTATATTGGAATGTTCTAGAGTCTTGTTTTAATAAAATAGCAACTAGCTAAAACGTTTGATGCTGGCTAGAATGCTTGAAGACAATTGGAAGCATTGATACACTGATTAGCCATTAGAAATGTTACATAGAATGGAAGTGGATTGTTAAGTGATTCTAAATGGCTTCTAAGAATTTGAAATATTCCAACAAATTAAGTTTAAATGTATTTAGTGTTTTAATCGTTATTTTATGAAAACTTATACTGAGTGTTTACTGTATATTGAAATGTTTTGTTTTATTTTACCTGTACATTTTTATTAATCATAATAACCTGTTTATGACATCATTTTTATTGGTCCTTTATTTACATTTTTTAATATGGTCACAGGCCTGTAACCACAGCCTGTTGAAAGGGGTGGTTCTTTTTTCTAAACTTTTTGCAGGTATTTACCTAATTTTCTATTTAATTATGAGGTTTAAATACACCATTGTAAACACAGCTGCATTAGCTTGTCGGGTGGTCATCATAACCACACTTTTTGAGTTACCAAAAACATTTGCTAAACATTTAGAATAAAGAAAAATGAAAAAAAAAACTCTTATTTTTTAAAATACAAATTTATAACATCATGTATCATTAGAAAAAAGGAGTCTGTTAAAGATTTCAGTAATACAAAAATGTGGGCTATTGTCATTTATTAGGCAAATAACAAACTGACCAGCTTATTTAAGTTTTCTTATTCATAATTTGATCATCTAAAAAAAAAAAAAAAACACGTAGAGCTTCAGAATTTTTCTCGTCTCATTTATATATATATTTATATATATATATATATATATATATATATATATATATATATATATATATATATATATATATATATATATATATATAAAACATTTCGAAAAGGTCATTGATAACAAAAATAGCCTAATTAGTATTAAAACAAATTTTAATGTTAACTTTGGTGCTTCAAACCTTTTTATTAGTTTTTTTTTTCTTCAAAAATAAGTTCCAAAATTCTGAATAAAGTTTGCTTGTAGTGAAAGATGACTTCACTTACATCAGATATTGTGTTGTCTTGCTCTGGATGTTGGACTTGTGAAAAATAACTGTTTGCATTCATTGGAAGCCTTCTTTGATGGATCATTTTTACAATTTAAATTGGCATCGCATTTAAAATATGACAAATGAGCTCATGTATTGGACAAATTCTGGAACTTTTATCAGTGGAAGTGTGGGTTGTTCGAACCACCTGAACCCCTTTGGCTATGGCCTGGGTCTGCATTTTTTGTCTTTATTTGTGTTTCTGGTAGAGGTGAAAAAATGTTATCTTGCTAATTGACACACACACACACACACACACACACACACACACACACACACACACACACACACACACACACACACACACACACACACACACAAACACACACATCATTTATGAGATTATGTGTTCATTATTTCATTTTGAGAAATTATGCATTTCTTAGTATTTTGGGAACTTTCATGTGAAGCATTTCTGTAATAATTATATTTTAATAACTGTTATTGCATTTACAGTTCCTGCATCTATTTTTATCTACAAATGCAAACTTAAACTGACACCTGTCTCCTGAAACTGGTTTCGTTTAGAGCACTTTTGCATGAAATAACAAAAGTCAACATGTTAATGTATGTATGTTTATTTTTACGTTTTGACAGCACACTACCAAGGTTTTAGCTTAAGAAAAGTTAGGAAATTAGTATTTAGTGGAAACCCCAAATTTCCAATGACGTCAAATAAAAACATTTGTTTTTTCTTAAGTCTTTCAGCAAAAAAGAGATCTAATAAGATTAATTGATACATTTTAAAAATGGTTTACTCAACCTTGTATTCCAGTATATCAAGAAAGCTTTTAAGTGGTCTTTTTATGTTTTGGAATGGTGAACATAGGATAAAAAATAAAGTGTTAGGATGCTCTTCCTCAAGCAAGTCCCTCTTCATGGGCCAGTGCGCTTCTGCGCATGCGCGGTGCGGTGACTCGGGTCCATGTGTAGGCAGCGAGGATCTTTATTTGGCGACCGGAGCGGCAGCGGGCAGGGCAGATAGACAGAGGGGATCCCCGGGATACTTTTACATCAAAAATACTGTGGTAAATAACAACAACCAGACGCGTGGAGGGCCCTCAGTAGACCAATAAGCGTTTCATCTTCTCAGTAAGTTCTCTTCTAAAGAGAGATTGAGTGATATTGTATGTTTTCAGAGTGTTTTGACTTCACATTAGCTTTGCTAGCAACTGGACAGTTGAGTTAAACAGAGGATTTACAAACTTAACCATCAATTTCATCAAGTAAACTTGACGGATTGCCTTTAAAGGCATCGATATCGATGCTGTACGATATAATAATCAACTTTAGTGGAGAAAGTTGTTAATTGTGTTCTGTTTGGGGAAATAAACTAGTCATTTAGCTCGCCTGCTAATTGGAGTTGATGAGTTAGTCAGCATTAGCTGATGTTAGCCGGGTTAGCTAACTAGTTTTGCTTCCTCAGCACTAAACTCGCCGGGTTTTATTTATTTAAGAGTTAGTTAGTTGCCACTGAGCTTTACTAATCTCAAACTCATTTTAAACACAAGAAGTTAGGAAATTTTGGATTTTGTCATAAATTAAGTCATTGTGTTTTATAAACACCTCATTGTAGTAATACAGAGCAGTGTTATCTGTTTTTGGTTTATGGTCACCAAACTAGTTTTTATGTATGTTTTATTCCTGATAACAAAAGTAACTTGATGGGGAAACTACAGAGTTAAAAATACTGCAAGACCTAATGTAGGTGAAATGGTAAACATACAACATACATGTTACTTTCACTTAGTTATAATTATTTTAATAATGCTTTGAAATATACATATTTACAGTTTGTATTATTTATTACATTTTCAGCATGAGGTTTCCTTGAGTCAAATATGCCTATCTTGTATTTTGATTAGGATTGTCCTTATGAATGTTGAATAATTGACCTTTTAAACATGATATATGTTCCATATATGATGGTGCTATCTGTATTTTGACACGTTTTACATGCTTCCTTTTATGCACCTTTGACACAGACATAATTTTTCAGAGAGGGCCAACTGGTCATGTGATATTTACACCAGTCATGTAAAAGTGTTCACATGAAAACCAAGATACGAGTGTGAAGTTTCATTTACAGTGTCCACTGTTATTACATGTCAAATGGTTTAAAGATTAAAGGTTAATCTGCTTATATTTGATAATTGGTTCTTTCCTTTTACTTGCTTAAAACGTTGGTGACCAGTAACCTGTAAGTTGAGTCGTGAGTTCAGAGGTTGTGACCAAGGGCAGAGTTCAACATTTTAGTTTCTAGCTTAGCCTAGATGTCCTACTGGTTATAGTCCATGAAGTAGATGTCATAAGAAGGTTTTTTTTTTAAAGCTGCTTGTTTTTTTATGATGAATTATGATAACTTTTTAGTTGTTTGTTTGCATTTCTTTTATGATGCATTTATAGGATTGTGGTTAATGCTGTGTAAAGTGTGTGATTATTATTAGTGATTGTTATTAGTTTTACACACAAAGACACCTAAAGAGATCTAAATATTCACTATGAAAAATGCTGGGTTTCACACAATTCCTTCATACTGTCCCAACACATTTTTGCTAACTTAATTGTTTTTGCAAATTTAAGTGGATTGAACGTAAGAACAATTAAGCTGTCCCCCCAAAACATTTGGGACTGTGTTAGTTCAGCTGATTTTAAATGAGTAGTTTGAACAAGCAGCAAAACATTTTTGGGTGTTGTACAATGAGCAGTTGTAGTATTATGGATATAATGATTTGGTTTGCATGCACCTCAGATTTGAAGTCATTAGTTGCATCCCATATGACACATGATGCACTATGCACTTATTCACTTTTACACTCAGCCATATAATCATCATTAATGTTCCAC